CATTCTGTTCTTCAATCATTATGAATTTGAAATGTGTAATCCTAGTGTGCAATTAATGAATTAGGAATAAGATGTGTGGTGTATATGAATTAATGAATTTGAATTTTTAGCTCCTGAGTTTTTGATTAATTAGTTAAGAGTGTTTGGTTACTGAGAAACTGCAATCAAACAAGAACTGGCCATGAGTTGGAGCGAGAGATGATCGTAATTTATTTTTTTATATTTAATCCTTCACATTTTTTTTTAATTATTAAAAACTTATTTGATTGTCTCAAAATTGTATATTTGATTATTTTAAAACAAAATTTTTAATTAATTAATATGTACTTGATTTTGTTATTGTGTCAAATAAAATAAAATTGAACGTGCCAAGTTTGGCAATTCTTAAAAAATTCAAAAAGTCAAAAAGTCACTATCCTATTTAAATCACATCATCTTATTTAAGTCACATCACCTCTCTAACACATCACTTCAAACCCAACCCATATTTCATAAAAAGTCAAAAAGTGCACTTATTTAGTCTTCCCAAACTTGGCCTAAGGCGTCAAGTTAGATTGGGAAAAATCCAAACTCATTAGGAGATGGGCAGGGTAATATCCATGGAGAATGGAAAATGGGGAATGGAGGAAAATTATTGAAGGAGAATGGGGATGAAAATTAATAACCACCCCATTAATCTTCATTGCCATTTCTATGTGGATCTCATACTCATGTAACAAATTTAATAAAAAATGTAATAGATTATTTATTTTTATCAACATGAAGTCCATATCTTTGGCTAAGCTTGGTTTAAATGAGGTAGAAGTACAACCAAAAATATTGTGCCCATTCACATAGTGAGACAAGGAACTATCTAACTAACATAATGTCTCCAACTGCAGGTATATGGCGGTGAGCAAATGGCATCCCCAACTGAAACGAAGATGTACCATCATACAAAATTGAATGTGGAGCCCAAACCTGAGATTTTGTCAAGTGCACCAGCAAAGAAAGATGAAATCAATGATGATGAAAGCAAAGACAGTCAACGCAGTGACGACATTGATGGATTTTCTATCAATGCAATGAACCTGAATGATGTTGGACATGATATCAACACTAGCTTTAACACCCCCAATGTTGAGAGAGGTATCATCATAGCACAACCAAGTAAACCAGACATCGTGGATATGCTTATAGAAGAAAGCCAAAAAGCTTGGGTCCTCGTACGGTAATGGGAAACAAAATACAAACAGTTGGAAGAATCATGAGAGTTAAGGGCAATGGTGATCGTTGTACTTGAAGCCAAATTATTTGACCAATTAGGCCCATCTAATGTGGACATAGAGATCAAGAATTGCATAAAGTGGAAGCATTCAGAAATTGAGCGGTTGGCAAAATTGGTCATCAACATAGAATGCAAAAAAAATAATTTTTCAAGACCTTTACGATGATCAGTCCGTCCATATTATCACGCAAGTCAAAGCGCAAAAGGTTCATGGAAGCCTTAAGAAGCATTCCATTGCACCACTGAAAGGCATTCTCAGCCCACCATCTAGGGTGAAGCTGTAACAACCCGAAAATTTAAGTTGTCCCTTAAATTTTATACTAGTATTATGGTTGTATGTGATGATATATTATTAAATAAATAATAATAAATACAGAATCTAATTTGGCATTAGATTATCAAATATGGGATTAATTAGTAATTATTATTTGGGGCCAAATTAATAGAAATATGAAATTATAATACTAATTGGGCCAAATTAAAGTTAAAGATAGTAAATAAATAAATATAAAAGTAAAAGTAAATAAATAATAATATTGATAACAACAACAATAATAATAATAATCATAATAATAATAATAATAATAATGGTTGTGGTAGTAAAATAAATAATTAATTTTTTGTTGGTATACGATAGAGTATAATTTAATTAGGGATTGATTTATTTATATAGTTATATTAAAAAATTGGGTCAAAATATAATTATCTTAAATATTTATTAAAGATAAGTATAAATCTATATAATTTATGAATCAAATCTGTGGATGAATACGCTGGCTACACGTTGGCCTGTCAATGCTCTTACCTCCTTATAAATAAGGAGGAGGTGCGGTGAGGGAAAGAAAGAAGGAGAGAAAGAACAGGAAAAAAAGAGAGAGGGTGAAAGGGAAAGAAAAGAAGAAATGGAGGAAAAAAAATGGAAGCCGAAAGGGTGAGGTATTAAAATTAAGGTGAATTATATTATACCTTAAGTTACCATAATATATTTTACGTATATTTTGACTTACCAAATTTATTTTATATAAGTTGTATTTTATTAGTATTATTAATATAAGTTATGTTTTTTAAATATTTCAGTTACGTGAATTAATTTCTGAACTCTATTTATTAAAATGAAATCCATGGATATATTTGTTTCTATTTTAAAGAATATTTGACTATAACCTTATAAACAATTATGTTTTATAAGTACCACGGGAGTCCCACGCTTTAGGGGACTTAAATAACCATTGGGCTCCGTTTGGTCACTTTGTGGGTCTTTATTGTCATGGATCCATTGACCTCTATTCTGTGCGGAGCAAATTGCTGTGTGGAGATAAGTGCTACACTATTGTGAGAGCCACCTTTATAATCCGTACGAGCCACCTCTTGAATCCGTATCTCTCTTCTGACTGTCACTCTTCTGATCTCTGTTCTGTTCTGTACCGTGGTTATGGCTATTTATTTACATAATCTTAGTTTTACTACTTAAAGGATTATTTATTTAGATTAAGTTATCTTAAATATTTTAGTTACATAACTATCTATGGTTATTTTGTGTCCCTTAGATTCTTGGTATAATATTTCTCACTCTGCCATGTGCTTATAGCTGTTTACCAATTTTCAAGAAACAATGCAATTCAGAAATAACTTTGGAAAGTCTTAGACGCGTAGACGCGAGGCTGCGGAATAGACACACACCGCACTTTTATGATATGTTTATATGTAAATATCGACTTTTTTTATCAATAAATTTTGTAATAAAAATAGAAGTTTCGATGATTATTTTGGTACCTTCATTTAAATGTTATTTCCGCTCACGTTTATTAATTCGTTCAAGAACTGGCCGGAGGTAACTTCAGTTATTTGCCAATACACTACTTAACCCTTAAGTATAGGGAGCGAATCGTGACAAAATGTATTATGATTAGCAGAGAAAATGTAATTTATAATTTTATGTTAAATAATTAAAAAATATAAATAAAATATAAAAATTTGTGATCCACTTAAATATATGTAACATTGATGTCTCAAAAATAACAAATAATTTTTCCAATGATACACCCAGTGAACAAAGAATTACCCCATTCTTTCTCACAGACCAATAATAGTTAACGAAGTGTCCCCCTCAGTGGGCGCCACAAAATGGATATGGAAAATTTACCGTAAACCCTTAAATTATGATTCATTTAGAGCATCGATATCAGCCTCTTTAAAATTTTAATTAAATTATAATTTAAAAAAATTATTTTTTTATTTTAGCTAGTTATTCCACTACATCAAATTCTCTATTTTAATTTAATTTTATTAAAATATTTGTTATTTTTTTTATATAATTAAATTGATGAGTTGTGAACCAAACAATTCTTATACTTTACAAAAGGTAAAACTTGAGGAAATTTAAAAAAAAAAATTTGTTGTTGACCGATTGACCGGCCGGACTTTTAGGCGAACGTCCGGTAACACACAATTAGTAATGAACAGTATCTCATTTATTGTAGCGAGATCTTGTAACACTCGTATATTAACGGTAAACAGTAGCGAGCCTGATGCGGACCCTTTTTGACAAACAGTGCCATTCATCTAGCTAAAAAATGAATTTATCTAGTTTAATACGGATACTGTTATATTTTGTTTCTTCATTTTCAAAAGTCAACGATTAAACTATTCACAAAATAGTTATGAATAAATTATAATAAATCTTTTAAATTATAATTTATTTGCATTTTATCATCTAAATTTTAAAATTTAATAATTAATTATTTTAAATTATTATCTTATTATAATTAATTCTTTTTGTTAGAAATTTTTTTTTTTGGTTAGAATTCTCTTAAGAATTTATATAAAACTCATATGTAAAGTATACAATATATTGATAAAAAAAAAGAGTACACAACACATTTATTAAATTTTTGAAGTAAAAATTCTCTTAACTAGTCATCTTTTTTTATAATTTGTCATTAAGATAAGAGAGACAAGGGTAAATGAAATCACTTAATAAAAATATTATTTGTCTTAAAAAAATAGCAACGATTATTATTATCTTAAAAAATATTATCATGTGTTCCATTTACATATGACTCAAAACTCTGGGAACAAAATTCTAATAGAAGATGTTAAATGTAATAAGATAATAATTTAATAATCACTTAATAAAAATATTTTTTGTCTTAAAAAATTAATAATGGATATTATTATCTTAAAAAATAATAAGTGTGTCATGTCTTCTATTCACATATGATTTAGCCCTCGTTTGGCAAAGATTTTGGGATTAAAAAAAATATAAAAAGATAAAATAAGTTATATAAGTTAATAAGACAAAATATCAGTATTTTTTACCAATAATCATTACACTTTTTCTTTCGCAAAAGTCAAAAAAACCCCAAAATAAAAATAAAAAACGAGGCTAAAAAAATCAGACTAAAAAAGTCTCAACACAAAAAAAGTTAACTATTTTAACCAATGCCAAACGACCCCTTAAATTTTCAAGGCAAAATTCTAATAGAAGATGTTCAATGTAACAAAATAATAATTCAATATTCCTTCGGAGAGTGGGTTAGATTTTTTGATTTTTAGTTATTTTATTTTGGGAGTAAAAATTTTGTTTTAATTAATTTTTTTAACCTTTTAAATTTTTATAAAAAAAATTATAATTTAAATATAATATTTTATTTTATTATTTTTAATCTATTTTATTTTTTTATAATTAATTAATCCCTAACATCACAAGAAAACCTCCTCCTGTACTGTTGCAGTTTGTTTGTTCATATCTCTCTCTAACCTTGCAGAGAGAATGAGAAGCTTTTTTTTTTGAGCTGGAATCAGAAGCCTGCCTCTCTCTCTCTCTCTCTCTCAAAGTTCTCTCGATACCTTTCCATGGGGTTCCCGGTGGGTTACGCAGAAGTCTTCCTTCCGAAGCTCTTCCTCCACACTCTCACTCTCCTGGGTTTCATCAGAAACCTCATTTTCTCTCTCTTCCGCTTACTGGGTCTCTCCGATTTTCTCGAAACAGACCTCTCTTCCTACGAAAACCCAACTCGAATACCCGACAACCCGCCCGCATCAGCCTTCCTGATCCGAGAACTCCTCCCGGTGGTTGTGAAGTTCGAGGACGTCGTCGCCGGCGGCGGAGAGAGGTGCGCAGTCTGTCTCTACGAATTCGAGGTGGGAGAGGAGATTCGGTGTTTGACGAACTGTAAGCATATTTTCCACCGGGGATGTGTGGACCGTTGGATGGATTGTGATCAGAACACGTGTCCGCTATGTAGGACACCGTTTGTGCCACATGATATGAAAGATGAGTTTAATAAACGGCTCTGGGCTGCCTCTGATGATACTGATTTTTATACCGACTACACTTCTTCGATTTCGGGCTTGTCATCTGTTGAAAATTGACACATAATTTATAGAGTTGTATATAAAAACATTGAAAGATAGATCCAGAATTTTATTTTATTTTAATGTTTTGATTCTTATATAAAGTGTAATTTTTTTTTAATAAAGAAAGTGTATAATTTTTCACATTCATCGAATTGTTTAAAATTGCTAAATAATTTTCATTCATTAATGAAGTGTTTTCCTGCTAAAAATGAAAATGCTAATGTATGTACAATTGTATTGAAATATATAAAGAATTCGTTTAAAATTGCTAAATAATTTTCATTCATTAATGAAGTGTTTTCCTGCTAAAAATGAAAATGCTAATGTATGTACAATTGTATTGAAATATATAAAGAATTCATTAAAATGTGTGTAAATATTTTGAAAATATTTAAAAATTGTGTTGAAATTATAAATATTTTATTTTATATGGTTCTTCTTACTGACAATCTTAAGGGCTATCATAGCAATTGTTTATTATTTAAATATATAATTACAATTGCCTGGTGTTTAGATGTATTTGGTCGAGTCCGAATCTTCTGCCGTGGTCTCCTGCGGCGGTCCCATGCGGTGCCCCAAAACGACGTCGTTTTGGGGCAAGTTTTCAAAAAAAAAAAAAAAAGAAAAAGAAAAAAAGTGGAGGCCAGAACCAGAGGAAGAACCAAATCTAAGAGGAAGAACACCTCTGGATATTATCATGTAATCTCCAAAAAGTGCATTCAAACACCCATTCAAACATTCAAACAACCAAATCTAAGAGGACAAGTGTAAAACAGAACAAAACAAACCCATCCTTCAAACCCAATCATCTATATATATATACACACACGTATGTATACATATGTATATATATAGGATCATTTTGACCAAGTGTAAAACAGAACAAAACAAACCCACCCTTCAAACCCAATCATCTATATATATATACACACACGTATGTATACATATGTATATATATAGGATCATTTTGACCAAGTGTAAAACAGAACAAAACAAACCCACCCTTCAAACCCAATCATCTATATATATATACACACACGTATGTATACATATGTATATATATAGGATCATTTTGACCAAGTGTAAAACAGAACAAAACAAACCCACCCTTCAAACCCAATCATCTATATATATATACACACACGTATGTATACATATGTATATATATAGGATCATTTTGACCAAGTGTAAAACAGAACAAAACAAACCCACCCTTCAAACCCAATCATCTATATATATATACACACACGTATGTATACATATGTATATATATAGGATCATTTTGACCAAGTGTAAAACAGAACAAAACAAACCCACCCTTCAAACCCAATCATCTATATATATATACACACACGTATGTATACATATGTATATATATAGGATCATTTTGACCAAGTGTAAAACAGAACAAAACAAACCCACCCTTCAAACCCAATCATCTATATATATATACACACACGTATGTATACATATGTATATATATAGGATCATTTTGACCAAGTGTAAAACAGAACAAAACAAACCCACCCTTCAAACCCAATCATCTATATATATATACACACACGTATGTATACATATGTATATATATAGGATCATTTTGACCAAGTGTAAAACAGAACAAAACAAACCCACCCTTCAAACCCAATCATCTATATATATATACACACACGTATGTATACATATGTATATATATAGGATCATTTTGACCAAGTGTAAAACAGAACAAAACAAACCCACCCTTCAAACCCAATCATCTATATATATATATATATATGCACACACGTATGTATATATATGTATATATATAGGATCATTTTTGTTTTTTTTTTGTTTTCCCCTGACCTCTCAAAGGTTTGTGAGCTCTCATGAGCAAAATATAAAACAAACCCAGTAACAAAAACTAAAAGAAATTAAGAAAAATTAAACCAAAACCTCACTAAATTGAACAAAATCAAAGAGAACCCATGAAAAACAGAGTTATTTGAAGGGCAGAGAGAATCTTATAGCACTAGACATTTGTTCATGTATATTGTTGTATGTGTATATATATATATATACTCTTTGATTTTTGAAGAACAATAGTGAATTTCTGCAGATCATCAACATCAACAAAAAAAAAAAAAAAATTCCCCTTCATCCTAAATGAAACAGTGACTGGAAAGGAGAAAAAAAAAAGTAAAGAAAACAGAAGGGCGATACCCACTGGTAGAGAGAGACCGCCATCACCGTCGATCTTCCTTCTCTTCCTCGCCATCACCGCCATCGCCTCTTCTCTCTTCCTCTTCTCTTCTCTCTCTCCCCTCGTCTCTTCCCTCTGTTTGTATTTGAACGCAAGAGGGAAAAAAAAAAAATGAGGGTGTGACTGTATTTTGGCACTTCGAGTCATTCGGGACAGAGATAATTCGAGCTACCTACCTAGCAGCTCTGTAAAATAAAATAAAAAGAAAAATTGTTTCGTAGCTCGAAAGTGGTGGTTCGAACTTGGCCCGAAAAGCAATATTTTCTCTCTTCTCCCTATCTGGGTCTATAAGCTCAAAATGAACACAATACGAAAAGAAATACCCTCTGTATCTCGTTCCTCTCATCTCTGTGAATCTCTCTCGTTATCCCTCTCATCTCTGTCATCCCTCTCATCTGTGTGAAAACCTTTCGATTGGTAATTGATAAAGGAAAATAATGGAGAATCGCAACTGATAGAGGAGAACGACGGACGGAGGAGAACAAACCACGACAGAGGACGGATGACAAAACAGATTTCTGGATAAATTTCTTTTATTATGGCATTCAATTGAAATGTTGTTCCTTTGTTTTCAATTTGTTTATTAGATGAAATGTGAAGAATGTGGAGGCTTGTACATGGTTACTGTGGGGACATAATTTTTGAATGACAAACACGTGGCCAAGGTGGCACCGAAGTACCAGCCAAGGTGGCACCGAAGTACCAGCCAAGGTGCCACGTGTCCTGGTCATGGAGTCGAGATGATCTCGGCTAGGCCGAGGTTATCTGCTAACATACCGGAATCTGGGATAAGCGGATAAGGGACAAGAGTCCTAGAATGGGAAAGGACTTTAGTTTGGATAAAGATAAGACTCTTAGAAAGTTTATCCCAATCCTACTGGGAATCCAAGGAGTAATCCTAAGTCCATTGAAGCTAGGCTTCTATTGGGACTTGGTTTGTGTTTTCTATAAAAGATAGGCATCCCTATGGGACTAAAGTATGCTTTTATGCTTTGAATAGTGAGTTAAGCACTTTTGCTATCTTTGAAAGATAACTCACTTGATCGTCGGTGCCCCGGGTGGACGAACCACCGCCAGAATCTCTTCTTTCTTGTTAGACTTATTTATTTTGATGATTTATTTAATTATGTTTTAATTTATTTGAAAGAGAAAAATAGAATCAAATTTATTTTGTCCCATTATTTCTCACCTAAATTTTTATCCTAAATATTGTTTGAATGTATTTAATATTTGCTTAAATCACCGTTCATTTCAACCCAAAAATAATGCCCAAACCAGAGGTTCAAACAGCCCAGCACAGCAGCAGGTCAAAAAGTTTAAACAAGCCCAGCACAGCAGCAGGCCAAAAGGGTCAAACAGCCCAGGCCAGTAGCAGGCCAAAAGGTTCAAGTGGAAGATACTCAAATTAGTAATGATAGAGTTGAAGATATTCAAATTAGTAATGATGGAATACAACGGCTATAAATTCAAATGAATACAAATTTGTAATGATGGAGTTGAAGATATTCAAATTAGTAATGATGGAATACAACGGCTATAAACGGCTATAAATTCAAATGAATACAACGACTATAAGTTTCATTATATATACCAAAGCTTCTAATGTAAACAAGTTACAAAAAATCAGAAAATATTCTTTGATCTATAATCACTCACATCTATTCTTTGAAAAATTCTTTGAGGAGTGTTCTTCAATTTTTGTTTACATCCTCTTTCAGAAATTATACACTGAAACGTATAGTTTTGTTATTTTACTTGATCATTTACTGCTAAGTTCATCATTGTGCTTGTTAATAATTTGTTGTACTAGTAGTTAATTTTATTGGGGTATTATTAATTTTAATTTGTAGAAAGCTAATTCATCCCCTTTTAGGTTGCTTTTTGGGTAACAAGTACATTTTTTGTATTTTTATGTATTTATTAATTTTTTAAAATATTTTTTCATAAATTTTTTACTTTTTAGATACATCTAAGTAAGGTGTATCTAAAAAAATAACAAAAAAAATGTTTAAAATTTTAAAAATATTAACTAAAAACAAAAAAAACACGAAAATCAAAAAACTAAATTTTCAAAAAACTTAAACCAAACACACCGATAATTTTTTTTTTTTTTAATAAACAACAATGAGATATTACTAAACTTAAATGTTAAGAGTTTATTTGGATATATGTGAATTTTAAATTAAAGGATTTGATATTAAATTTTTACAAATTTTGGGGGGTAACTATTTTATAGGTGGATTGGAAAATTAAAAAAGAAGATATGTTGAGACAAAAATGATATATTTTAGTAGAGAAATTCTATAAAACACACCGCAAAAAAAAGTGTCTATCGTATGTCGCAATTATGATTTTCGTGGTCTTTAGTTATTTTAGTTATGGCTTCTTGTGATTGTTATTTTAGTTATGACTATATATCAAGTAATAGTTAGTTATGACTCATTCTGATATTAGTTATGATCTACTGTAATTTTTTTTTTTATTTTTATAATTAAAGATGTGTTGTTTGATTATAATTTATATAGTGGTCATTTTAGTTATGAATGGAAAGAAATACATGAAGGATAAATTTCACATGTCAAATGTAACTAATAATCCAATAAATTTTATATCTTTATTGAAATTAATTATATTTGTATGTCAATAATGATAAATATCACCATTATATTGAAATTTTTATAGATAATAATATGACTTATTATAGCCTCTTTATTTTTATTCAAAATAATTCTTATTATTCTCATAATTTTAAAAATATCATTGACATTTCACTTTAAATAATATTTTTATAATTTTTTTATTTAATATATACTTTTTATATTTAATAAAATAAAAAAAATAATTCTTAACTAATTTCTTATATAACAATAAAATTACTTAAATTACTAATTAAAATATATAT